ACCAGAAATGGGGTTCTTCTTGGAAAGATGGGGAATAAGTATGAGAAGCCAGTAAATGAGTGATTTTAAACCAAATGTCATTGTTAGGAAATGAGTCAGGGGGAGATGATTATGTACTGGATATCTGTTTGCTTATGTTTTTGCTTTTTATTGCAGCTAAAATATTTACATTTATTTGTTCAGTGGGTGTAATGCATGAAGAAGTCATGACAAAGAACAGTTGCCCCAGTTTGTTTTAGGTGTGAAGGAAGTAAAACTAGCACACGCCTTTGTGGGTTTTAAAGTAGTTAAAAACAAAATCTGTGACAACAGCAGACTCAAGTCTCCACTTCTAGATCAGTTAGTAAAGCATAGGCCGAATAATAGATCTATGCTGCTCTATCGATCAGAGCCTGCTGTTCACCGTCAGTGTAATACTACAAAATGCTTTGTCATTTTTAAAACATTCTTGAGTAGCACAATTGTTCACATGTGCATCTCCAGTGAGTAATGTGTGAAAAGGTTTAGAGCTGCAGTGCATGTGTGAAAACTGTTTTAATGTATTGGGAAAAAGTTGAGAATGTTTAACTTTTGTTATTTTTGTTTTTTTTATCCATGTCATTTCATATCTTCTCATTCTTAAATGGTTCCATACAGATGGCAAAGCTGCGGCAGCTCCTGCTTCTGTGCAGGACTGTCTGGTTAGAATGTAAACTGCATCTGTCATGTTCATATCTATTCAAGTTTCAGACATTGCATTTTATATCCAGACTGCGCTGCTTCTTCTGTATTACACTTTCACGTACTGCAAATTTGTAACTGTGTAGCTCATATAAGTTACAACTGTCCACTTCATTTGTGTCTTGCAGAGTACGGTACACAAACTCAGGACATGGCTGATCAATACAAGCATCATTCCATACTTTCTGTGTTGGGAGTTTACTGCAGACTAACCATACAGTTTAAGTTTGTATTTAGAATTTGTATCTTTTTACTTATTCTCTATGTCAGAGTACAGTATCCTGCCATTTGCACTATGTGTAAACCTGGAGCTTTATAATTTGTCTCTTTGCATACATTTACATGGCTGAGATGACAATAAAGTTCACTTTGAGTTTTACTTCATGGGTCACATACAACCCAGTGTGAATTTATGCGGGATAGAGCAGTCGAACTATAACAAAAAACTATTTCAAAACAAAACAAAAAAACTTTTAGTGCAAAGAAGTACTATTGCTGAAAACTTTGACATTTAATAAATGATACTTTATAAAGCAAATTAATATATTTGAGTTCTTCCTGTTTCTGTTTGGATAATGTGTTTGTTTGACTCCAGTCATCACCATACAGACCCTTTGCATAAAGTTTGAACACCTTTAAGGTTGCCAGACCTTTCCCAGCAGGACAGCAGTTTGACTTGATGTTCTGGTTACTGTTGCAGACACAAGCACAAGGATCTCTTGCGTTTGATCGGTGCCCAATCTTACAGGTTTCTGAACATTTCTTCAGCACTGCATTTTTCTTAATGTACTGCTCCACTTCTCGCTTCAGTCCCGCCCTGGCAGGATGATTTAATGGCAGTATGGTGTGTAGGGGTTTTAAGTTGTATTGGACCACGTCAGGGATACTTTTAAGAGAAATGAGCCAGTTTTTATAGGCCGAGGGGTCAGATTGGCCTGCAAAGAGGATATCACCTCCATCAATATCTCCACCAATGGCTTCTGTGCGCCGCTCATTAAATGAACTGCTGAAACTTTGATTAGACCCCAACTCTGTTTTCTTTCTCTGACAGTGTTCATACTCTGCTTTAATACGTGGCAGAATTTGCAAAAGTAGCTGAAGCTTCAACTGACAAACAGTCACTAACATCAGTATCTGTTAGTCCATTCATTGTAGCCATGCAGGTCTTGACAGCAGTGGTTGCTTTAATTTCACCTCCAAGAGACACTTGTGTGATGTAATGTGTTCCATAAGTGTCAATCAGATTGTGATATAATGGCGCAGTTTTAGAGGAATAAGGGGGAATGGAGTCAAACGCCGACTAAATTCTCTGACTCAAGGGAGGACTTGTTGCCAGTCTGTAGCTGTGGAACAGAAAAGCATATAAATAAGTTTAACTTAATTGTGAAGATGGCCAGTATTTGTATAGCGCTTTACTAGTCCCTAAGGACCCAAAGCTCATGTACATACACACACACAGGTGATGGCAAGCTACATTGTCCAAGCCAGGGCTCGAACCGGCAACCTTCCAATTACAAGGCAAACTCCCAACTGCAGCTTCAGAGTCTGTGCGATGTTGACTTTCAGCACCCAAAGGCATGTCTGCATATGTGAATGAGCTGCGCTTTGTGTTTAAATTTTTGGGGGAATCCGTTTACCTGTTCTCATTTGCTGTTTTAGCTAGTTTGGCATGGTTGCTAAACTAGTTTGTGAGCTTTAACCTGAGATTCTGCGTCTCTGGCAAAATCTTAACGATTGGGTTTAATAAATCGATATCGCATTATTTAAACTAAAATCATTTAATGGAAAATCATTTAAACACCACTTACTTTTCACATCGTACAAAATGTTAATACACAGCTTATAAAATGATATGATATTCCAGTACACTCCAGATCTGTATGTATGTGTTCTGGGTGACCCTATGGGGGGAAAAGTGTTTAACATCAATGCAGTAAATGCAATAAATACTTCAGTGACACAGAAACCATTTGATTTG